TCCAGGGCTCCGTCACCCTCAGAGGGAAGAAGTTCTTCCTCATGTTCAGACGGAACTTCCTGTGCTTCAGTTTGTGTCCGTTGCCCCTTGTCCTGTCTCTGGGCACCACTGAAAAGAGTTTGGCCCCATCCTCCTGACACCCACCCTTAAGATATTTATAAGCATTTATTAGGTCCCCTCTCAGCCTTTTCTTCTTCAGGCTAAACAAGCCCAGCTCCCTCAGTCTTTCTTCACAGAAGAGATGTTCCAGTCCCCTCACCATCTTCGTACCCCTCCATGGGACTCTCTCCACTAGTTCCTCGTCTTTCTTGAGCTGGGGAGCCCAGAACTGGACACAGTACTCCAGATGGGGCCTCACTAGGGCAGAGTAGAGGGGGAGGAGAACCTCCCTCGACCTGCTGGCCACATTCCTCTTGATGCATCCCAGGATGCCATTGGCCTTCTTGGCAGCCAGGGCACACTGCTGGCTCATGGTCAACTTGTCACCCACCAGGACACCCAGGTGCCTCTCCACAGAGCTGCTCTCCAGCAGGTCAGCCCAAGTGTAAAGACCAGTGTAAGAAAACAGACGATCGGAACCACAAGGAACAAAGAGAGGATGATGGAGAAAGGGCTTTTGCTTGTTGTGGCCATGGCTACTGCAGCAGAACCCAGAAGCTGCTGCTGTGAAAAGATCAGCCTGCACAGGCGTTACCTCAGTCTTCACATCAAGATTGAAAAGAACAGAAAAGCCACATTGGGGTGAGTCATTGTTGAGGGTCACCACTTCCCACTCAGCTGCCGGAGCTGGAAACATCAGGAAGATGTGTTTCACAGGTATGCAACAACTGCGACGTGCACTTGAGTTCCTCACCGACTTCAGGTAAGAACACACTATCTTCATTAGTGAGCACATGAGAAACATCTGAAGCTGTTGGCTGAAAAACATCGCGTAACTGTTTTTTCTCTCAGCATATAAAATGCTGCACACAATTCATAAGGACAGAAAATCACATGCATGTCTTTTATTTGAGAATTAGGTAAGCACGCAATTAGAAACTATACACACTGTATGCAGGTGGGGCGGCTGAAGTTCAAGGTGCACATGCAGGAAGTTTTCACAGATTCTGTTTTTTAAAAGCTAAATTATTCTTAAATCAATGTACAGGTTGTAATTGGTTGGACAGAAATAACAAAGTTTACATTTCAGAAACAGAACAAGTCCCCAAGCACGAGCAGCCCCGGACTCCTGGAACCCTCTGGGGCATTTTGAAACTTCTTTTATGCACGAAAAAACCTTTCCTGCTG